TGTGTTTGCTCTTCTTTTTTTTTCTTACACAGATTGGCTGGAATGGCTTGTTGCTATCTCTGGCGAAACTTCAGATCGATTCATTGCAGATCACCACACATCGTCAAGGTTCATCCGACATGTTGTGGCTGTCTCGATTAATACGGGTCCTGTGCAAAGAAACTGTGTAGATTGGCTTTTTTTCATTCGTACGACTTTGGCGGGTTTGAGCGGTGCGTTCGAAGGAAAAGAAATGAAGTAGAGGAAGGCAGATCATCGCGAGACTATGCAAGTCCCTTAGGGAATCGCTGTCGTTGTAAGCGTTGGGACCTTCACACATTAGTGAAGAGTTATAATAATAATAATAATTCACTTCTTAAGAATGAATGAAGTCATTGCGCGAGAAACAAGTGCGAAACAACCACTGTGCATTTTGTATGGTGCTGCTGCTGCAGCACTAGTTTATTGCATATACGCTGTATAGGCGTGTAAGTAATGTTACGTATTCGCTGGAATATTATTGGCATGTATGTAACCAAACAATCTACAATAACATAGCTTTTACTGTTGCAGGAGAACTGCGTAATAAACAAGGAATCAGTGGGTAGCAGGATTTTGTTGAATATAGAGTTATCAATTGCTAACCTTCTTTCTAACTGGATTCCCAGAGAAGGCAAGCGGGTTAGGGGGAGACAGAAGGTTAGGTGGGCAGATGAGATTAAGAAGTTTGCGGGTATAAAATGGCAGCAGCAAGCACAGGACCGAGTTGACTGGCGGAACATCGGAGAGGCCTTTGTCCTGCAGTGGACGTAGTCAGGCTGATGATGATGATGAACCTTCTTTCGCAGCATTCAGTTCGATGTGGTTACTCGCTCATATAGCGCCAAAAGAATAAATTGCAACACGAAATACTTTTGTAAAAACTAGCATAAACCTATCGTGCCTTCGATTTCTATTTCGTTGAACATGCGCTGTCGTTGCGAAATGAGGGGAACGTCCGAGCGAAATAGGAAACATAATTCTGGAACAACCACACTCCCGGACGGCTCATCGCAGTTGAAAGCGACCAAAAAACTTCTGAAGTTTCGAAGAACAACTCACGTGGACAAGTGGCTGTGAGAGTGATATCTCTTATCACGCGAGCGTCATGGACACGTAACCGACTGCATGTTTGTGGGTGTGCTGTTGTGTCCTATATATCTTTCTCTCTCTCTTCCCACTCTTTCGATCTCCCTTTTTTTCATCTCCCCTTCCCCGTCCCCACGTGTAGGGTAGCAAACCGGCTTTCCTGGACTCGTTAACATCCCTGCCGTTTCTTCTCCACTATCTCTTCTCTCGTGAGCTCAAAAACAAGACATTCTCAAGAACAGCAATGTTCTTGTGAATATTTCTCTTTTTTTTTTTTTTGCACTAGAAAATCCCGATAGCTATGCACCATCTCGCCTGATTTCAAGTTCTGTCAAACCACGGTTCTGTATTCTCTTTCGTTCGGAAGTAAAATGATCTATCTATCTATCTATCTATCTATCTATCTATCTATCTATCTATCTATCTATCTATCTATCTATCTATCTATCTATCTATCTGTCTATCTGTCTGTCTGTCTGTCTGTCTGTCTGTCTGTCTGTCTGTCTGTCTGTCTGTCTGTCTGTCTGTCTGTCTGTCTGTCTATCTATCTATCTATCTATCTATCTATCTATCTATCTATCTATCTATCTATCTATCTATCTATCTATCTATCTATCTATCTATCTATCTATCTATCTAGTCTGTCTGTCTGTCTGTCTGTTCTGTCTGTCTGTCTGTCTGTCTGTCTGTCTGTCTGTCTGTCTGTCTGTCTGTCTATCTATCTATCTATCTATCTATCTATCTATCTATCTATCTATCTATCTATCTATCTATCTATCTGTCTATCTGTCTATCTGTCTGTCTGTCTGTCTGTCTGTCTGTCTGTCTGTCTGTCTGTCTGTTTCTTTCTCGCTCTTTCTCGCTCTTTCTCTGTGTGCGTGTGTGTGTGCGTGTGCGTGTAACCGCGGCCACAACTGTCGCAACGTCAGCAAAAGTCGTCATGCGCTTGTTGGCGAATGAGAAGTCGAGACGTATAGTACACGCAGCTATACGCTCCGATGCCACGCCATCGGCTTCCGAGACACGTAACGCGCGAATACATCGGGGGATGCTTACACAATACATGCACTGCACATCGTTGTCGCCGCTATTTCTGGCTACACCACAAAACAACAGATACACACTCAACTTTCCATGGCGACGACGTTTCCAAAACCTCAGTCGGCACTCGCACAACCTTTTTTTCAGCCGTTCTTTCGATCGCGTTGTGCGATGGCTTGGTTGGGGCTGCTTGTGTTTCATATTGTTGTTACTCCCGCTCGTCCTTGGCTTTGTGCACAACACAACTTTGAATAGATTGAGGCCCGTATTCACAAACCGACCTTACCCCTTAACTCTCACTTTCCTTGTCGTTCGTCTTGAGGGCATAAAAACAGTAAGTAGGGTAAAACATAACTTTTCAGGTTTGTTTGTTATTTTTGCCTTTATATTTGTGAACGAGGTACATTAAGAAAACAAAAACGATGAGCAAATAAAAGGATAAGCTAGGATAAAGTTGATTTGTGAATACCGTCCTTAAGAATGCGGTGGCGTAGGTAGCGGAACAAGCATTCAGTTCAATTGCTAAGCAGCAGAAGAAATCCACGCCGGTTATCTGGAAGAATACTTATCAATTGACTGAAAATGTCTGCTGGTATTTTTTGTTTGTTTGTTTGTTTTTGTTGCTAAATCGCTACCGCATGTCACTTGAAGTGACTAAGATTTCCTCGATAGCTCAACGGCTCCTTAATTGGCAAGTCGAAGCTCTGGAACCCAGAATAATTTAGTGCATTGCTAAATGCGTCCGCATGTAGTTGCTGAACAAACCTCTAACTATTATTACAATGAACCGCTTCGCTTTTCGAACCGTTATGAGATAGCGCACCGGATTTCCTGTCGTTTTTTTGGTCGCGCAACCAACGTGACGCCGACGCGGCTTTTTGACGAATCGGTGGCGTTGTTCCTTGCGACCCATATATCTTGGTAGTGCCGGTGCGGACAGCACGCAGTCCTAACCATCTATTTGCGGCCTAAATAGCTGGCACTTATCGGCTCGTGCGTATCGGTGCACTGCCGCTTCGTAGCCGACATCGGCCGCTCATCTTGCAGTCGGCGCAAGGGCGCGATAACGGCGGACGTGCTCCACACCTCTTTCGTGCGAGCCTAGGTGGAAGAGCCGCGCTTCAATCGCATTTATTGGCCGAGTGCGCGGGCTGCTCCCTGTACTGTGCGCCTGCAGCGAGCCAGGCGTGAAGGGCAGCCCTCGGGTCGTTGCGCGCCGCGGCCTTTCGTTCTTCTCTGCGATTCGTTTATTCGCGTGTGTTTAATTTTTTTTCCCCTGCTGTTTTTCGTTCTCATCATTTAGTCGGATTGATCGCAGACCGCAACGCAAATATTCCGCTGTTGCGCTCGCGTGCGTGCTTGCGTCTCATTTACGCAGTTTTTGAGGCTTGCATTTGTATTTTCTTTTTTTTTTACATTCCCGCGTTTACTTTGTGCTCTTCCTTTTTCAACCTTTGTGGATAACTACGCGGTCGATGGTATACAGTATATACTGCCAGCCGCTTCAGGCGTAGCCGCTGACGGCCCGCTCGTTAATTATTCATCGCCCATCTTAATGACACGATTGTCAGGAGCGCCGGAGCAGTGCGAGTTAGGTCGGTCGATGAGATCGTCGCACACGAATGTCTCGCATCTTCTGTCGATCGCAGGCCTCTGCGCTGCTTTGGGGAACCGCCGGTATTTTCGTCTTAGTTCCCTTGCGCTATGGGAAACGTGTGCACTGGCTGTCCCATCCAACTTCAACCAGTGTATCTAAAGAAAGCAGGAGCTCTAGAAAAAATTGTACTAAATGCACCAATTGTTGGGCATGTTGATTGCTTGTATCGCTATACTCCAATTTATGGAGTTGTAGACTGCCCCACATGACATCGCAATGAATAATTTGTTTTGTGCTGAAATAAGCGAGCTTGTGCTCACCTTTCTTTTTCTCCGTGTTCCCGTTCTCCAACGAATCGTAGCCAACCATACGTAAGAAGAACTTACCCATGTTTCTGCGTATTTTTTATGGTATGTTGTGTAGCTTGAGAGAAGTCCATCATGTGTAGTACATGCATTGCACGTATGCGTATGCAGGACATTTGCTATAAAATTAAACCTTAAACCTGCCATGTGACGTCCTGAGAACGTACCAATGTCGCCAATTTCTTTTTTTAAGCGGTGATAATTTCTTCATGCAGTTCCGATAATACAACATCACTGATTTCGGTGTACAATTATGACAGGAATTTTAAAAGTTCCAGGTGGCTTTACCTGTATGCATGCCGTGGTGTGAGAACGTACTGCAAGTCGGATTGTTTATTTGATGCAATAAACGGTAAGACACTGAAAATTGCACAGACGTTGCTTCGCCGTAACAAAACTTTTTTTACATATTGTTACGTCTACGAGGGGTCGCTCTTTATGTGGTCGCTCTTTATATAGTCTCTCTTTATGTGGTAGATTTCAAAACATATATATGCACATTGACCGAGTCAGGCAAAGCTTCGTCGTCACCTCAAGCAATATAAAACAACGTCCGAGTCGCTGTCGGACGCAAGTTATACGACGCCACTGCTTTATGCAGTGCTCCGAGAAGCACCTCTTTTTCTTGGAGCATCGGCGCTGCTGGCGCATTCTTCTTGCGATGCGGAATTTCGAAATAACTGTTGCCAGGCTTAACACACTCTTGAAAGTCACGAAATGCGGTTTTTCATAAACAATTCTGCCGTCGCCTAGAGTTGAAAATAGCAAGCTAACCAGTGGACGGCCGGGATACAGCTTTAACAACAAAGTGAACTACCAATAACTACCCCAGCAAGTTCCTTTAGTTCTCCGTGCATCGAAAAGCTGACAGGACCGTTTTGTTTTCGCAGACATGTCCGAGGAGTCGGCACTGGTGCAGCGCGTCGCCGAGCTGCAGGAGCGACTGCGGCACGCCGAGATGCTGAACCACCAGCGCTGGGAGGACGTTCTGGCGCTGCAGCAGCACCTGGTGCCCCGCAACGGGAGCCTAGGCGACGGCACGCCCCTCGACCTGCAGCTGCCGGCCATCTACAACTTCTTGCCGCACCTGACCGCGGGACCGGACGCCATCAGACCCGCTGTCAAGATCTCCAGGGGACGAAGCGGAGGTGTGTAAACCGAAAGCGCGCTTCGAAAGCATTCCTCTTGCGTTAATATGCTTTCCCAAAATACATTTAACTTTGATGCAGAGCAGTACCTAATTCCCCGTCAAGTGCGGAACCTACGAAGTGACCACCCCAGAAAATATCTAGTTCCTCAATGTCGTGTGAACACATATGCATACTCTTTTTTTCCCTAGAACAATAAAAGACCGGAATGTATTACCCGATGCTATACGTGATTCTCAAACTGCAGAACATTTTGAAAACAATGTTACGAAATATTTTTCTAAGTGAATCTTCGTAAACGGTGATTGCTGTTTTTGGTGTGTGTGTGCCTGTCATCTTTTGACTATGAATCTATTTGCTGTAACTTGTCTCATGTGCGTTGAAGGATGTAATATTGGGAGTGTATTTTGTGATGTATGTGATGTAGCATGTAAGTCGTAGAACGTAGTATAGTGATGTATTCCTTTTGTATCGGCTATGCATTTCTTTTTTACGCATGACATGACGGTTGTTACGTCAGTTTTCTACCCCACCCCTGTAACGGCCCAATCGGCCAACAGTACCTGGAAATAAAAAAATAAATAAATCTCTCTTGGATGCGTACGCAAGCCGCTTGGGGCCCCATCACTAAAGCTCTCCTCTTTGCACTGCCACGGCCGGTCTAGAGGTGCAGGAGCGAGCAAGCGCCTTTAGAGTGGCCGTGACTCTGTGATTCGAATCGGTGGTAGTGGCTAGAAGAGGAGAAAGGCACCTAATTTCTGCAGCCCGGTCGGGAGCGTGGCGCAGTGCCTGGGATCGAAGGGGCTTCTGTACGAGGGAGTTGTGGAGGGAAGGAGAGAGGGGGGTGATGCTGCTGTGAAACTTCACCCACGTCGTTCCCCGGCGGTCCCGCTCCCCCAAAATTTAATGCAGAACATCGCGCACGCCAATGTTCGTGATGTCACACAGGCACAGGTTCGTTATGCAAGCAAGCTGCTAACATGACCTTATGCGTGGTGGTAGTGGCGTAGCCAGAGGGTACCACACTGGGCCCGTGCTCCACCCCCTCCCCTCCTCTCCTCCGCCTGATTTTTTTTCGCCATACAGAGTGCAGTATCGCAATTTTAAGGGGTTCCCCCCCCCCCCCCCCCCCCATATTTTAACTCCCCTGCATGTTTGTTTTTAGTTGCGAAGTGTAGTTCTGTCATGTGAAATCTCTTGCGTGGTTTGAGCAGGGATTCAATTGCACACCCTGCCATGGTGATCAGCTTACAGTGTCTCTCTTTTTTTTTTTGCTTTAAACTGGACTATTAAAATACTACACATTCCACACATGACCTGTGCTATGCATAAAGTGATTATGCAAAGTACGCTTGCTTTGTTATAACCCAGCTTAAAGAGTCTGTTAGAAATTCTTCTATATGTAACAATGCAATAGCTGGTAACTTCTAGTGTCAGTTGAAGTACCATGACTAACGTCAATAATTCCTCTGAATCGTATTCTGTTTTTTTCGAACCAAATTGTTTGTACCCCATGTGCGCATATGTCTTGCACCAGTGAAGTGCAGCTTATTTTCTAGTCATAGTCATAAAACCAAGTGCTTTTAAAAGCAGAAAACACGAAAAAAATGGTGCATAACAAAGAAAAAGAAGGAAAGAAAGGTGGAAACAGCGGTAGAGACCGTTATGTACCCAGATGAGCTGGAAGGGTGTGCTTCAACCCCTTCCTACCAGTGCTTTTACAGTTTGTATGTATATATACACCTTTACAATGGAGCAGAGCATCACTTATTGGAATGATCACAACTGATCTGGCTGCCCTCCTACAGTGAGTTTTCGAATGTTATTAGACTTCACGGTATTAAGCACAGCCACAAGGCATCAGGGTCAGTACCAGGATTTTTTATGCAATTATATTGGGGTGGGGGGGACATGATGGACAAAGGAGTTCCTTTAACATTACAGGGAGGTGGGGAACTTGTTCATCACGTTTCGGCCATGTTTGCTCTGGGGGGAAGGTGTAAAGGAGGCAAAGTGTTAAATTGCACAAATAAGACTAGGACTCAATAAAGAGACAGCGGAAAACAGAGCACAAACTAATACCAAAGAAAGTTTGTATCCTTGAGCACACAATTGTCTTTGTCTCTTCCTTTAGTCCCTGTGTTCTTCACGCAATTTAACACTTTGGATCATGTACCAACATGCCCAATTGTCAGCCATTCTGAAGGAAAGGAGGGGCAGGCAAACACTTATCAGGGGGCTGCTGCAGCCTATACCCCTCGCTGGCGCCGTCACTATGTGGCATCATGGCTTCATGCTAATTTTGTTTTTATTTCTCCGATTCTACTTTGTCGATGTTTACTAAGCAGTGCATTGTACTCAATGTTGCAATCCTGTATTTTTGCAGCGACCATGGTGCTTGGCGTGCCCACTGTTAAGCGGGAGGTTCAAAGCTACCTTATGTCTACGCTACAAAACCTGATCAACAACATGAGCCCCGAGGAGAGACGTATATCGCTTATCGTAGTGTTCGTCGCAGAGGTGCGTTTTTCTCCACTGCTGCAATTGACTAGTTAATGAATGTGTCAAAAAGTATAGAGATGATAAAGCTGATAACACTAACGATATAAATATGTGAGATCCAATGTGATAGTGAAATGAAGTTTCGTTAGCACATGCTTAACACCCAAAGTATGGTGCATGAATGTCGCATACTGCCTTGTACCAACTTTGTACATGCATCGTTTCCAGTCCTGCACGCTCATTTCACGCACATTGAAATATAATTGCACGAGTGTTTTTGCATTACACCTCTTTTAATATGTGCAGACATATTGCACTTGTCGACAGATTTTGAAGAACTGTTAAGTTTTCTGCTGTGAGGCTATTTAATATTCACATTGACACCAATGTGTTCAAAAAGCTTTAATTTTAACTGTCATAATATTATGCTATTGAATTTATTTACTTACTGATTTAGTTTCCTGATATGATTTATGCATGCAGTGTGGCAAACATAGAGTTCATGTATGTCGTTGCAGACTTTGATTGAAGCACAGTGGCTATAGTGTGTTCAAGGCTAACTACTTTTGTGTGTGGCTCTTGTGAAAATGGTCTGATGGGTGGCAAAGCACTCAGGTTAAACACTTTCATCTCTATGTATTCGATGTAAGAGTTCGTTTTGGCCTGGTGGTTGTTTTAGTTCAGCTAATGTTGGCAAGCTGATGTTCCAGTCTCACTATAACTTAGCATTTGCATGGTGTGAAACATGGATATGTAATTTACTGTTTTCTTTTGATATGTAAGCACATGAAGTCACTGTATGACTTACCCTTCTTTGGACAGTATGGGGGTGGTGGATGGGGCAGGTGTGTGATCGTCAGCCACCCTTCCCACTTCCCTTGACAATGCGCTTGTGCCCCTTCTACATAAAAATGATCACATAGTTTTCTCTCCAATAGCTATGCATATACATAGAATATTGAAAACACAATATATTTATGTGTTAACTTGCTTTTATTACATTGAGGTTCAGCTTATCTTTTAAGATAAGTTCTTTTTTGTAGTATTAGTTTCAGGCTGCAGCATTTCACTTGTGTTTAGTTTATATCATGTGGGTACCCTGAACTTGAGTAAGAGTGTTCAATCTGCGTCAACTGACTGCCACTGATGAGTGAAATGTGGAAGCAACGTTTTTTGTTATCTGTTTAGGCATTTGGTTGTTTTATCTGTGAGGTTAGTCTAATTTGTATTCCATTTGCAATATTTTGAAGCACCTATATTGCATGACCGTTAAAAGAATAAAATGAGCACGAGTACATGCACACACAAAAAAATTGGCTGTCGCTTAACTGGGATATGCCTGGGTGTGTGCCGCGAGAAGTACAATTAACCTTATTGTTCAGCTTGATTCTTCGTGTAGTTATGCTTTTCGAGGCGTGTGGCTCGTTCTTCCTCCGTACCCTCTGCTCACTGCCTTTTTTGGTTAAATGCCGGCAACGAAGCCTGGCTTCTTTCGGTCTCTCTGACTTGCTTTTTATATCTGCTGATGAATCCCTTTAAGCCGCCCCTTCTATATACAATGCCACACTGGCTCCTCCTCTGTTAAGTTTGAACAGCATGTGTGTGTGTGCGTGCACATGCACACATATACACACACACCGCTGATTTTCAGCTGGAAGCGCACCTGAACGTTATTTCACCGGGTACAACATGAATGTACGCATGCACGCACACACACACACGCACACACACACACACACACACACACACACACACACACACACACACACACACACACACGTGCACGCACGCATACGCATGCACACAACGCTAACTTTTAACTGGAAGGCAGTTTAACTGGCTTCTCCTCTGATGTCATGCCAGATGACGCGATGAGCGGTGCGGCCACCGGCCACACCGAAACAGTGAGAGTACGGTCAATGCAGCTCTTTTTGCAAGCTACAAAAGTTGGAGTTTCATTTGAAATCTGCTAAGGCATATCAGTTGATTTTGTAAACATGCTAACGGTTGGCCTTATAGTCAACATCAACGAAAAAGATGTTTGAATAGACAGAAATTTTTAGTCAATGACAATGTACTGACTGAATACTTCTTTATAATCCCACCCTTCATGCATACATAGGAAAAGTTGTGTGCGTGCATGAGGTGATCTGACAAAAACTCAGATGCTAATTTATTGCCCCTCTGTCTTGTTTACTTTCATTCAGACTGACTTAAGCTATGTCATGGAGCAATCCAAAGAAATCAAACAAGAGTAAGTATTTTCGAGCACTTTTGCAACTTTGTAAGCCACCTCTGGCATTGCTCCTTGGCAATGTGCTGGAAGAAAGCGGAAAAATCTAAGCAGGCAGATATGCATAGAAAACATTAAAAAAAGAATACATGCACTGTCACATTGTGTGGTTAGCTCGAATAATTTTACAATGAAAAAAGTTTTGTTGTGTGCATTCTGTAGTAGTGGGATAAGCTCCACACCATTGTTTCTTTGCAGCCTTCTTTGCTTCTGTGATGTTGAATTTTATGCAAGCATGCAGTCGTGGCTGCTGCTGCTAGTTTGGTCCTTCAGCTGGTGTGGAAGAAAATTTAAGAACTGCAGCTTTCTTCTGAGAATCAGCTTCTGTCTTCTTTAAGTGATTCCTCTGGAAGGAGGTGCATAACGGATTATTTACAAGCTAACAAGACAGGCAGGAATTTAAGAGCTAATATTTAACGACACCTATGCATCAGCAACACACCAGTAAAGAAAAAAGAAAAAAAGAATGAACAGGAATATTTTAAACTTAGGCTTGTGGGTGAAAGAAACAAGCACACAATTATATATGATCTAGAAAAGGAAAGATAATACCACAACCCCTATTATGTTGGCAAAGAGAGCAATACTGCATTGTTATTGATGTAAATTTAAATTGAACTTCTAACGAGACATCAAATCAGAAGCAGACAGGTTGAATGCAGTTTCTACTTTGGTGTCTTGTGCCAAGCGCACTTTAAGTTTGCATTACGTGTTTTACCAACTAGTCTCCCAAGAAGCGTGCCTACATTCTTATTTTTTATTGTCGACATCAGGATTATGCGATCGTTTTTTTCTAAATATTGCATCGACAGACCCAAGCTTTAATGCGGCTGATAAGGGAGGAGATTTTAATGTTCTAAAACAATATTTTCAGCAGAAAAGCAAGTAATGCCTTATATATAGGCAGTTTTCTAGATGAACTCTGATGTATCTTAAAAAGAATAAAAGTGAATAAAAACTAGATCTTATAAAGATGTCAAGGCTTTCTACAAGAACAACTCAATTAAAAAAAAGCACACAACATATGAATTAATACTTATAATATAGGTACCTGTGCAAGGGGTCAGAGTTATTCATTTAAAAAAGACTCGATAATGAATGACTGTTTCCTTACCCGTCCCTGGTTTATCATGTGAACAGGCTAAGTGAACATGTCGAGAGTGGTCTTCTGGAGATCATCTCCCCACCAGCATCCTTCTACCCAGACATGGACCACCTGCCGGAGACGCTGGGGGACCCGCTAACCCGCGTGAAGTGAGTCAACAGAACTTGCATATATTATACTGACAGTTTGAAATTTTGCATAGGAACCAAATAACTTTTGTTCTTTGATTCTTACTCAATTTGAGAATCTGCTGTTTATAAATTGTGTGCTTATGTATGCACAATTTATTTTGAAATATGAGGAACAGTAGAGACACTAATGGGCAAAGTAGGAAGGTTAACCAGACAGGAAACTCCTGGTTAGACAATATATTAAGGGAAGGCAGAGGAAAGAAAAGTGGTGAAGAAAAGTTCACGTTCGAAAAAGTAGAAGAGGTGAGTAATAGGAGAAAAGATTTTTCCCAATACACCAGTGCCAGACAAAAGTTTCAATAGTACCTTGACCAACTTCTGGTCTTATGACTATTTAAGTAAACATTCCATTTTGTGTGCTCCGACAGCCACCTGCTGTGTGAGATAAGGGTTGAAACGTGGTCTTGTTGGTAGTGGGTAATTTCTTAAGCTTCATTGTAGCGTAGCAAGGGATGTGAACACTAAAGCCCCTCTTTCTGGTGTGTTTCTTTCTGGTGTCCTTGTCTTTTTCTGCTCTACAATTAAGCTTAAGAAATAAAGAAAAAGTATGATATGGCTCAGGACAGTTGCAAGTGGCTGCCTGTAGTAAAGGCAGCTGCTAAGAACATCTTCTATAGTTTCTTCACTGCCGCAAACATCAGAAACAGTGTCATCTACCCTCGCGATGTTGAAAGCAGAGCATTTCGTGAAAGTGTATGCCAAGGCACTTGTGATGGGGAGATTGTTTGGAATGGTTGTGCTGCAGGAGACCTGTGGTTAATGCAAGTTTTGAGCAAAGGCCCTCTGAGCCTGAATAACTTTCAAATATTAGTGTTTGATTGACTTGATCTTTGCAAAGCAATTAATTAGCTAGCTTACCCAACCATGTCTATATTCCTAATCTGCTGTGCCTTTTTATACAGTGCTTGTCTTCTTGAACAAAGACACGTTTTGTATACATGTGCTTTCACAATGCATATTCTCGTGTTTTTTTGCTGATGCCATCATGGTGCACTAGGTAGCTTAAAGCGGCCCTGCAACATTTTTTTGAGTAATTGTTATGTGGTTTCATTAAAGAGCTTATTACCTCGCAAATTACCTGCTGCAAAAATTTTTAGAATTTGTCAAGTATAAAAGGAGTTACGGGAATTCAACTTGCCCTTCAGGCAGTTTATTATTTTTTTTTACCAGCAGGCGCACTGAAAGCTACGCAGGAGGAGGTGTAATGACGAGGGGGCAAGGAGATACACCTATTTGTCAGTACACATCATCACCTTGACGACTTTCTTTCCCTTTGAGTGCGCGGCTTGCCTTCAGTGTGATCGAGAGCTCGCATGCGGGCATGTGGTAGCATCCTCCTATGGCTGCGGTAACTATTTAAGCAGCTCATGATGCTCAATAGCCATAAAGCTGAGGTTTATGGCAGTATTAGTTGGGAGAAGGGGGGAATGACTTCTATCTTTATTTGAGAGTTGACCGTAAATTCCAGGCCACATGTTGCCTGTACTGTTTGGCTTGCATGTTTTTGGAAGTCTAAACTGTTAATTGACAGCATTATCTAACCATGCTGAAAAAGTGTTGCAGGGCCCCTTTAAACCAGTTCACAATTTTAAACTTGGGTTAGGTAAACAGATGTTCGGTGGCAAAATATACACATAACATTCATGTGCCAAATATTTTAAATAATGCACTTTTTTGTAATGAAGTTTGCTCAACCTTTATTTTAACTTTTTCTAGAAAGGAGGAAAAGTTGTGTCGACACTTCAGATTGTTCCAACTGTAATGAATGAATCTGTGCAATGAAATGTCAATCAAATTAAGAGGCTGTGGAGCTTTTTTGTAAGAATAATGTAGCCTAATTAAAATCGCTTTTGTTTCTGTTTTTCTTCTGTTGTAAAATTGGAATGAATTCATTGTTTAACAAAAAGGGCCTAAAAAATGCTAGTTGTTGAGTAGCTTTTTCATCTCTTTGCTCATTTGCAGCAGAACAGATTTCAAAATTATCATCAGACAGTATTGTTGAACTTATTGTGCCTGTGTACTCTCTCATACAGCTTTTTAATGAATCCGAGTTGACTCATTCTTTGGGCAATTCTCTTACACTGAATATGTGAATTGAAGTTGCTGACTGACTGTGACGTTATACTGTTTGGAGAACTCTCTGGGCTTGCCTGAATGTGCAGGTGGAGAACAAAGCAAACGTTGGATTTTGCGTACCTTATGATGTACGCGCAAAGCAGGGGGACATTTTACGTGCAGGTGAGTGATAGTGATCTTGTTAGTGAATAACGTCTATTTGTATGGTTTTTTGCTTTTTATTACTAAACTTGCTGTATGCTCTTGGATAATCAATAAAACTGTTTCAAATAGTTACATAGATTGCCAGGAAGATATTGTGTACCGTTTGGCTGCCATAAACCCAGTTGTAATTATCACGATCAGGCATCGACCTCATATTGTATCCTCATAGTTGTATCTGCCTATGACTTGTGGTAATGTCAAAAGATTGCAGCTTGTAAAGTTTGTGAAAGCTCATCTGAACCGGATCATAATTCTTGTGCAGGACATGAACAATCTTCCTTAGTCCCTTAAACCTGAGGAATTTCTCCTGGTGATTGGGTCACGTTTTTTTCGTTGCTTGCAGTAACTATGCCCTTGCGAATGTGCACTTCAAATATTGTACGAAGATTACAGTATTACAATTAACTTTCATTTGAATTTTTATTGTAGGAAATTTCGAAGTATTCGAAATCAACGAATAGATGTATGTTTGCATGTAACCCTTTGTAAAGGGGCTTTCTCTGCAGTGGAGGGGTGCTGTACCGCGAAGGCACCTACCTCTCCAGGGAAAATATGCGCTGCCATAAAAGTTCACTTTAAGTTTAAAGAAACATATTACCCTCACATGGTTTCATCATTCTTTAGTTTAAAAGATTGTTATACTGGCTTATATGCTCTAATAATTATAAATTTTAAGACATAACATATTTTGCTGGTTACCACTTGCATTCTACTGAAAGTGTAATCCTGCTACCATTCAAATGCTTCTGCTTATTTTCAACCAAAAATAATGACAAAGTGCTCAAGATGTGGATGCACATGGGGCGTAACTTCTTTCTCCTGTGCCATCTCTCTCTGCATAATTTCCAGTGCATTTGCAAAAACACGAGAAGAGACCAATCTCTGTAACTCTTCTTCTCCTTGACGACTTCTAACAATTTTGTGGTGGTCTATTTATAAATCAATTAACTCCTTTAGGGAAGCCATTCGATGGTTGCTTAAAAAGAGTGCCAGGGCCCCTTCATCAGTTCGGGTTGTAAAAAAAAAGAGAAAGAAAGCTCTTCATGAAAAGTTTGTGCTATTAGCATGAGGGTGGAAGGGAAAAGCAGGTATAATGAACTAAAATTTTCAGTTGACACTTTTAAAAAGCCCCGTCTTACATTTTGGCAGTTCCATTTATGTCATTTATGTCATTTATGTTACAAGAGAGGGGAGAGCTGCACTCATATGAAAAATGAGCTTGGGTGGGAACTGCTTTCCTCGCGTCGGCAAAAGCTGCGACTGAAGTTTGTTTTTTCAGATATATAATGATAAAACAGGAATTAATAAAGAAAAATACTTGAAGAAACCTCATTACCGTTCATCTAGTACTGACCATGTTGCTTAAATAAGAGAATTACGCACCCGGACGAACCTGTTCGCGAATTCATTTTTTGTTAGAACTGTTAAAGAGAGGAATGAATTGTCTGCCATGCACATGTGCTGTAACAATGAAGAATTGTTTTTGTCATTTCTGTAACCCCCCTGCTGTAACGCCTTTGGGCAATGCGGGGTAACCTTTGAATAAAGAAATGAAGAAATACCCAGTCTCACACCATTGATACAGTTACTTGTGGGGTGTGGTGGATGGTTTCTCAAGTGCAATGCTAAAACCTGTGTACTATGATATTATGTAATCACTGTTACTTTATAGGATTCAACTATATGAATGTTTTAAACATATAAACAGTCTGAGGGCTCTATAGAATTAGTTTTTCAAAGTGCAATAGGGCACAGCTGCCTTTCTGCACACAAATACTTGGTGGTCATTTATTTAATTTTTATTTATTTTTGAATACTGCAGCCTCAATGATGCTATCGCAGGAGTGGGAAAAAGAACAAGAACAAGGAAACTTTCATTAACAGGCTTCCAGAAATTCTTGAAAGGGCAGAGAATGAATACTTTCGGGCAGCGAATTCCAGGCTTCTATAGTTAAAAGGAAAAAGGATGCAATGAAGCGACCGCATCCATACCCAGCGTTCAATCGCATTATAATTCTGTTCAGTCGTGGGGCTTGCTAAAGGTTGTCTCATCATTGTTATCACCATGGTTTTCTCACAACAGCGGGGGCACCAACACGAGTAACTGTGAATTATCTAGTAATACAGGGAAACTTCGGTAATTTGTACCTGCTCGGAACATGGCATAATCATGCACTAAACAGCAGTGTGCAATTACAAGTAAAAATGTGCATCTGATGATGTGCGTCTGTGCCACCAATAAAGAAATACAGTACCACCTCAGATATTGCCGAAGTACTTACCAGAAAGTCATTTCTTTTTTTTTTCCAAGATGCAGAAGTGATACTAGGCTGCCACTCTCGCACAATGGTTTTATAGCACGTAGTGGTGACACCAAGGAGCCTTTCGAAACTACTATTACAAGGTTTGGGATATGCAACATCTGAGATAGCGACAAAATGGGAACCATTGGTTTTTCACAATACATATGTGCCCTTCTCTACCGAGATCTGATATTAACCGACAACTGACAGTTTCATGAAAACACAAAGTGGTTGCGTAAACTTGATCATCTCCTGGTTAGTTGCATGCAGCGCGGCGTTTATGCTGCCTACGCCATCACTGCTGGGCGGCTCGCTGCACTGTGCATGTGAATTTGCTGTATCAATTGCTTGTCCCCACTCCACTCCAGACCAAGCCCAAATGAGCAGAGTAGTGTGTTCAATTAGCATAGGGATAACAAACTTTCTTCTGCCAAGTGGAGTGGGCTGCGTTTATCAAGCGGTCATGAAAACAAGAGAGAAAGATCGCTTCTTCTTTGGTTTCTCTCAGTTCTCTGTCAGCTGTGATGCTTTTTGGTGGAAACACATGCGTGTAGTAGTAGTAGTAGTAGTAGTAGTAGTAGTACTTTATTTACAGTAAGCCGGATACAGAGCTCACTGCAGGGGCAAAGGGCTAAAGGCGAACAGCCTGACAAAGGCCCTTGTCCCTCCGCAGTCCGTGACAGTGCAAAGCTTAGACATCACTGCAAAACAATATATATATTCAATACATTGGTTTCAAGCAACCTGCAATTGTACACACAAAATTAAAACATAAATAGCATAAGAAGTTTACATAACACATTTCAAGGATTAAAGGTCACTCTCGTAAAAATTCACAACTAAACGATATCAATGAAACAACCCAAAAACAGACACAAAATGCATGCAGATACAGTGAATTGCGCTGTATACACTCGTATAATGACATGGAAATTTAGGAACAATTTAAGCATTTGCAGAGGCATGAGACTCCATTACGTGATTTCGATAGTGTAGACCGGTGATTATGAATAAGTTCTTTATTTGTTTCTTGAAAGTCGCACTACTAGCCCTAAAGTTCAATTGATCTGCAAGGGTATTTAAAACCTGATGTACCTGGTAAGCAACACTTTGTTTTCCATACTTGGTTCTTGTTCTAGGAGCTCGTTTCTTTTGTTCTCGCAGACTGTAGTGTGGTCTTTCGGTGCAACTTTCTTCATATAGCTTAGTCTTTTGTATTAACTGAAGCAATTTAAAATGATATAATTGATCAATTCTGAGTATGGAATGTTTAATGAATAGTGGACCAGTGCGCAAGTCTTGTAGATTCCCCCTGTATTTTTCAAAGCAGCGCAATATTTTCTTTTGTATAGTTATTAGCTTATGGTAATTCCCTTGTGATGTCGTTCCCCAGACTAACATCCCATAAGTTACTTTAGAATGGAAGAGTGCATAGTACATACTTATTTTTAACCTCAATGGGATTAAGTGCATTGTTCTAAAAAAACAACCAACTATTCGCGCTAATGCGGTGATCAGATGATTTACATGTGTGTTCCAGTTTAATTCCTCCTGAAACCATACACCAAGAAACTTTCGTTCCCTAACATGTGCGATGCAATTTCCTTCGAATTTTACAGCTATGTTACTAATAGGTTTGTTTATAGGTCGGAATATCGTATAGGTTGTTTTTTTTGCATTCAAGCGCAGTCCATTTTGCCTTAACCAATTTGAAAGATTGCTTAGATAATTATTTACACTGACCTCAAGTGATATTAGATTGTCTGATGAAAAGAAAACATTCGTATCGTCAGCGTACATTATAAGTTCAGGAGTGTACATGCTTGCACCCCCTCTCTTCACACACACACACACACACACACACACACACACACACACACCACACACACACACACACACACACACACACACACACACACACACACACACACCACACACACACACACACACACACACACACACACACACACACACACACACACACACCACACACACACACACACACACACACACACACACACACACACACACACACACACACACACACACACACACACACACACACACACACACACACACACACACACACACACACACACACACACCACACACACACACACACACACACACACACACACACACACACACACACACACACACACACACACACACACACACACACACACACACACACACACACACACACACACACACACACACACACACACACACACACACACACACACACACACACACAACACACACACACACACACACACACACACACACACACACACACACACACACACACACACACACACACACACACACACACACGCACACACACGCACGCACACACGCACGCACGCACACTTGTGGGTGGTAAGTCTAGTAGTAAGCTCACTAGTAATGAATGTTTAGGGAGCAAAATCGAAATTTTTTTTGCCAGAAGTACTTTCGATTGACCACGATGTTTGACCCTAGAAAGCATCTCCAAATTTAACTTGCATTGCTTCAAAACACACGTGCCTTTTGGTGCTCCAAAACTGCTCTGAAACCCCCCTTTTACTGCACCAAAACTACCGTAAAACAGCATTATTCCTGTTTCCTGAGCTGCTTCAAAACACTAAAGTCCACTTCCACTCCTGCCTTTGCCATACATCTACTTTCACAGGGTGTAATGTTCGCTTTATATGGTTGTATTTTTTTGTCGCTGTAGCTGTGGCACGCATATAGATTTTTGCTTTCTTTTTCGCTTTCTTCTTACTTGTAGCTAGAGGATGATATCCTCACAAAACCTGGATACATCACAAAAATGAAAAATGCTGCATACAATCACATAGCGAACAAGAGGCATTGGATGATTCTTGACTTCTGCCAGCTAGGATTTATTGGTAAGTTGGCCAACATTTCACTAAACAGTAGTCGACTGTTGTCATATTGACTAAGTACCTCTTTTTATTAACATGTGAGCGTACATGTGGCTATTAATGCACATACTATGTTTGATAGTTTCTGTGTTAGGTTAACTATCTTGTCCAAACATTTTGACCATACGTTATTTAATGACAGTGACTTCCTAGGGGGTGAAAAATTCTTGAATTTGAGTGTTGCTGTCACTGAATTGAGTGGCAGATGCTTATAAAATTCTAGTGCTTCCTGAAAGTGTTGTCAAGCTGTTTTTTGTTATAAGTATGCAGTACTACCATCCGTACACTGATCATTTTATTAGTCATTAAGCACTTCACTAGTATATTGCCAAGGGAGCCATGGAGCCTCTGCAATGTGTTTATAACTGTTGTGTTTATTTTTGTTGTATAGGTTTGTGCCAGAAGAACAACAGATGATGCCTTATTCTGTAAATAAATATTGACAATTTCCACGTGTTCAGATACTGTGACTAATCTTCTTCTCCTGAATAAAGTGCACTTCAATAATGAACCCAGACTGCTGTTGCCTTGTCACAAAGCATTTTTGCTAACATTGCGTTCAAACGGGATGGACAATGGTCACATTTAAAGAAGCATTGAAACACTTTGAACAAAAGCACTTTGAACATTGCTTGCTCCTAATACTTCTTGCAACATGTGAGCTAAAGCCTGTTGCTCCAAGCTTCAGTGAACTCTTAATTCTAGTATGACAGATCACTCTTTTCTTCCTTGCCTACACCTTCAGCTGGTTTGTAGCATGTGAGTCAAAACAGACAGTGGAAATTTGGGTGGTCTTTACTGGGCCTTGTTCCACATCTATTGGCTCTTAAACCATAAAACTACTTTTTCGCAGGGAAACTGTTCAAGTGTGTGGACCTGTCAAAGTTTGTGGCCTTCTTTCTCATATTTTACAATGACAAGCCTGTTGACTGGCTTCTAGATAACATGATTTCTACAATGGTTTGCCGAAATGATCATGACCCCGTGAGTATCTTGTATATTTGTTTCTAAGAAACTGATTGCACTCTTTTTTATAGTTTATGCTATTTGACTGCTGAGCGGACATACCATGCAGACAAGTGCACAATAACAGCCTCTTTTAATTGGTTTCCAAACTAGCTAAACTGTGTAGCTTCATGACTTTGTTATACTACTAGATCTTTCATTCACTCTCATTAGCGTTCTTTTTACAGTGAACTTCAACTTCAGAAATTGCTGCTGTCAAGGCTGATGGCTACCTACAGTTAATGCCACATATTTCTTTTTTTTTGTATTATACCTACAATACTAATCAGTACGTGGTTGCATGTTGTGGCTTCACTAGGTCATGTGCAAATGCAGTCTTGGCCAACAAATGCAGTCTTGGCCAACATTGCCTTGGCTGCTGGTACCAGGGAAAAGTTATCTCCTGCGATACTTGCATGACCCGCTATTCCTTAAAAGCCTTAGTTTCATGGTTAGACATATATACTCTTATCATCTGCTTCTTCATCTAGCATGGATGTAGAGACAATGGGTGCAATAAGTTCAGGAGCTAGAGCGTACTCTAGCTGGCAGAGTGCACTCTTGTCATCTTAACGGTTAAAGCAATTTCCGGTGCGTGATTACGGAGCGTACTCTTCACACTCCAACCCCGAGACGTGGAACGAGCTCTCGTATCTGCTATGGCTTCCGGAACGATTATTTGTTTCAGACTCTCTTCTGATGACGTGCATTCTTTTCCCCCACTCATTCGTACCGCGGAAGCAACATATCATGCGCCACATAACATTTTTGCTCCCTTGAAAGCATTCCGCTGGAATCTCCGTTAAGTTAAGCTCCTAAAATGTGTCACTTGAGCGCATTTGACTGTGTTCCTTTGGAGTTTGCAGAACGCTAACCGAACCCGCCCACTAAGAGTTTGCGTTAATCCCCTCTAACTATGCTGTAGACGTACCATGGACCCTTTATTAATTCGCAAGTGCGCTTCTCTGCACTGTATGTTTGAACAACTAATAGCGGCACCTGTCGTGCTTCAAGCAGAGACCTGGTTGTACGCTCTGGGGCGTGTCTGTTATGAGTGTTTATATTAAGAGAAGCGACTCAACATTTTCCTCACCGTTGCGTAAGCAAGCCGCACTTGAACAGGCTACATATCTGCACTGAATGACAAGCCGCCATGAGTTGTTCAAACTGCATAGCCGGGAAGCTAACTTTAGATATTTGAAAAGGGTTTATTGCTACAAACAGCACACTCATTACTACCACAAGGTGCCGGTGATATCGGCAGTTTTTATTCTAGGTTCTCAAGAACAAACACTGGTGTGGCAGTAGTGCCGTATGTTCGTCTGTGATTTCGATCGGCACGGGGTTTTGAATATTGCTCAATTTCTTTTTGTATTCTGTTCTCCATGGTGATGTCTCTCTTTAAGACTGAAAGTAGTTTACAAAATCTCATTTAGTATGTACCTGGTTAAGAACTACTGGAGTTCAAAATTAATCCTAGTCCTCCAAAGCTGGGGCTCTCATAAATGTGGCAATTTTTTATGCACAAAACCTTGGACATTAAGTTTTATTCAACTTTGTTTTTACTATGAGCTAAAGTACAAGCTCTCTTTCACTGCCATCAAAACGCAGTTTAAGCTGTGACTTGAATAAAGTGTTGTCACCTCTGTGTGCTGCGAAATTTGTTGTGGCATTGGCAGTGTGTGGTAAGGTCTGCATGAAACTTCATGTTAGTTTTAACATGGTTGGTGCATTTTTATTTAGTGGCATTTGAGCGAGTCAAGTTGTAAGCACAAACACTACATAGTGACAGTATAGTAGTAACGCTGATATTACCATAAAATGTTGCTGAACCTAAGAACATTGTCAGCAGAAATAAGATGCAAGCCTGCCACATTTATTAACAGTTGCACAATGTAGCATTGAATAGATTTGTTTTTCTGAGGCAAGTCTCTCATTCTCATGCATGAAGTTATCACTTGATGGTTCAGGTGGCTGTGATGAATACCCCGTTGGAGCTCACCATTGCTCAAAAACTTGTTTTTTGTAGCCTAGCATCACGAATTGCTTTCATAGATGCACTCATAAAAAATTGTCTATGTTTGGCCTTTGATGCTGTTGATTTGTAACCATAACCTATATGAAACGACAAAACAACATCATTAAAGCTTTTAACAATGCTGTGGCACAGTGAGATAGTAATGCTTGTTGTATTTATTTTGTCAACAGAAACAATGTCGGAAGAGAGTAGATACCGTATGGATTCATTATAAGCCATCGCTATTCCAGCATGTGGGCATGCATTCATCCTTGAAAGGCAAACTGCAGAAATTGAAGGTAACTCCTTTTTCTCTGTTAAAAAAATTAGTGCCGGTTTGTTTATGACTTCATCACCACTTGTAGATGGTCTTTTCAATGTGCCAAACCAATGAATATTACAATAAAAGCTTGCTCATTAAAACTCCACAGGTCTGTGAAAAGTGGAAGAACTAATGGAATGTCAAATTACCTAGTGTTTCAAAAGGGAAAAAAAAAACAGCATACCAGTGCCTTGTGAATGAACATGCACTCATTCACTTAGTTATTCCATGAATCCTGTTCCTATTTCATGTAAAGGCAGTGTGCAACCTGCAGTTCTCGTCATCTCTCATTTCCCTCACGAAATGGCTATAATGCATGGTTTCTGTCTTAATCCAAAATTTGCTGCAGATAAAACCTATGTAGATAATAGCACGATCATAGATAATGTCCACCCAGCTTTGAAGATATGGGACCAAGGCAGTGTCACACACGATGGTATGCGAAAATAGGCACAAGATGTTCTGACTTTCCTCTTAATTATCATACTGTTCCTTCTGATGGCCATGATAATGAGAGCTGCACTGCCTCATTTGACTGGATGCTCACTCCGTTCTCACAATATTGAGTTGCACATTCGCTGTACTTCGCATGCACCGAAGGTCATCTAGATCAACGAGAATGTGGTCATATATATCTAAAGTAATGAGAGTTTGATGCCATTAATTATTGCACACAATTGTTGGGAGTATAGGATGAGTAATTGTTTATATTGAGAGCTTTTATTGCCCCGCCGCGGTGGTCTAGAGGCTAAGGTACTCGGCTGCTGACCCGTACGTCGCGGGTTCGAATCCCGGCTGCGGTGGCTGCATTTCCGATGGAGGCGTAAATGTTGTAGGCCCGTGTGCTCAGATTTGGGTGCACGTTAAAGAACCCCAGGTGGTGAAAATTTCCGAAGCCCTCCACTACGATGTCTGTCATAATCATATAGTGGTTTTGGGACGTGAAAGCCCGCATATCAATCAATGAGAGCTTTTAATGTACAAAGGTGCAAAACGATGTAATGAAATGACTGGCAAGGTCAGCTTTTATTTTAAAATATGTAGTATTTCCCACTCGATATAAAATTAAAACAGATTTCAAGAAACCTGGTGTGCACTCCACACATTTCTCACGTGGCAAATATCATGAAATTTATTTATTATTTATTTATTTATTTAATTATTTATTTACAACATACTGCAGGCCCACAGGGCCCAGACAGGAGGGGTGAAATTACAAAACAAAATATAGAATTTCAAAAGGTAAAAAAAAAGAGCAGACATTTACAGCTCAATTCAAAGTTTACATATCAGTAATTGTGTCGATAGACTTAATTGATTTTAGCAATGATGATGGCAGTGTGTTCCATTCGTTAATAGGGCGAGGAAAAAAAGAAAATTTGAAGGTGCTAGTTTTTTTTTGAGGAGGAGAGTGATGATGTCTGGTTTGTCTTGTTGTTGACAGGCGTACCGGAATGAAAGGACAACTTATTTTTCAGGAGAAAAAGAAATTTAAGCCTGAGTATCTTTTGTCATAATTTCAAAGTCTGTATTTTATTAATACGCACGATTGCTGTTGGTGAGTCAGTTTTATGGAACTTAGAAAAAATAAATATGACAGCTTTGCGCTGAACCATCTCAAGTGCTACTATAATTTGGCTGGTGTGCGGATCCCGGGCGGTGCAGGTGTATTATAAGCTTGGCCTAATCAGTGCTTTATATGCCTGAAGTTTGGTTTCTGGGGGCACCTGCTTTATTTTGCGTCGCAGAGCACAAAGTTTAGGAAAAGAAGAAGCACAAATGTTAGCGATACCAGAATTCCAACCGAGCTTGTGAGGCATGGTCACTCATAAATATTCATATTCATTTACCTCAACAAGGGTACTATCTGGAAGACTGTAAGAAAACAACTGTTTGTTTATTTTTTTTTTCATAATATGCACGTAAACTGTTTTTGTTTCATTTAACTTCATGTCCCATTTTTGACACCACGAATGAACGTTATGAAGGTTAGTGTTCGGAAGTGCCTGATCCTCTCGACAAACAACCTCATGGTGCAATATGCAATCATCTGTCAATAAGCGTATTTGAGCCAGCTCTGTTACTACATTAACAATGTCATTAATAAAGATTAAGAACAGGAGTGGTCCCAGTACGCTGCCCTGTAGTATCCCTGATGTAACTGGCAGACGACGCGAGTAGTGGCCATTAATAGAAACCGATTGAGTGCGTTTGTCTAAGTAGGCAGAGGTCTAATTAATTATGAATGAGGGGAGGCCAATGTATTTTAGTTTGCAAAGTAACTTTTCATGTAAAACGAGGTCAAACGCTTTCTGGAAATTTAAAAAAGTTGCATCAGTTTGTCTAGGTTTGTTGAGAATGCTTGCAAAATTGTGAATTACAGTTGTTTATTTATGTATTTAATAATACTGCCAATCTCATCAGAGATTATAGCAGTGAGGACATATGCAAACATACCTATTTGTGTACACAAAATCATAATCCTTAAAATCACAAAAAAAGAAGGAATCGCAAAATGCCATACACTGGTTTCATTATACAAAGCGATAATAGAAACAGACAATCAAACAATTTTAGTAACAATGCAGTTGTTACATAACCGTTGCATTACTGTTAGTTGCATAACCATTGAAAAATCCTTTCAGAAGCCGTGCTTAACTGAAAAAAAAAGAATGTTGTTGTCTGTCAAAAATTTAACTATGTAATTTGCAACAATATGTTCATGCATCTTAATCTTACAGCAGGAAGTAGTGAGCGAGATTGGACGATAGTTTGTAATCAGCGTAGGGTCCCCTTTTTTGTGTACGGGCACTACATGTGCCGTTCGTCAGTCAACCGGTAGCTCTGAAGATAACGATGTACAAAAATTATATGTGAGGAATGGGGTGAGTGCTTCGGCATAGTGACGAATAAAGGCATTTGGAAGGCCATCAGGACCAAGTGATGCTTTTGTCTTTAGGTTGAGAAGCATAGTGACAATACCTGGCTGCAATTCAATATCCTCGTAGTCTGGGCAGAATACTGGTTATCGAATGTTTTTGATAGAACACAGAACACACTATGAAAATAGTTATTGAAATGTTCTACAATGGTGTTGTCGCCATCAATTTGAACACTATTGATTTGAATCTCGCTGACAGACTTTTTTTTTTTTTCAATTTAAGAAGTCCCAGAACTCTAAGAGGTTGCCTTTACGAAATTTGGTAAGCTATGCTGAAAGTAAAGTCATTTAGGACATTTTAGTGTTTCATTAAGGGCAATTTCAGCAGCATCAACTACGTCTTTAGAAGCTCTTCTTTTTTAAGGCCACTCAAGCTTTCTCTTTAAGTGCAAGACCTGTCTCGTAATCCAGGGATTTGATTTTTAGTTTTCTTAGCTTTATTAGGTATGAAATCATCGAGACAATAAGTGCAGATCTGTTTGAATTGAATCCAGACATTGCAGATCTGTTTGAATTGAATCCAGACATTGTTAACATCAGAACTAAGGAAATTGTCAAACATTAGTGCCAGATGACCCAAAATGATCACATCTTTGACACGAGAAGTCTTTTACAAAAGAAATTTCAGGAAATTCATTACAGGGTTGTAAATGCAAAGCATTTCTTAGCGAACTTCTGCGACTTTGAGCCTACTTACCTACCTACCTTACCTACCTACCTACCTATTTATTTACCTACGTGAATGGATGACGAAGGTATGATACTGGTACAAACATGATAAACATGATATACGTGTCATGTAACAACATGAGTACATGCCACACTGATGATGCGCTCGCTGCCGTTTTGCTAGCTTTGCATACGCCAAATTTGGTATTACGTGATGCCAATGGATAATGAAGGTACTTGACTGGTGTAAACATGATAACATGAGGTGCGTGTCATGCGAGAACATGACTACATGCCACAGTCAAAGCGCCAATACATTTCGACGTGACGCGGTGCGTGTGCGTGCCGGCGTTCGTTTTGTGACGTCACGCTGGCGTGCCAACGCCAGGCGCCGGTCCTGCCATATACTCGCAGGCACGCGCCACGCTGCGTTGCTTTGACGCATGCGTGTTTCAGCGCGTCCGGCGTCTCTCTGTCACAAAAAAAGGGAGACGCAGTGTTTTACGGCTAACGCATCGGCTGTCGGGCCGCGTCGATGGAGGCTGGTCGTGCCTGGCGTCAGACTATGGAGTGCTCCTGTTTTGCTAATGTAGCGTCGCTGTGCCCAGCGTGCACGTGCGTCAACTCTACATTGGAGTGTATTGGTCATGATGCATTTGCGGCCGTTTTGCTAGCTCCACATTTACGAAATTTGGTGTTACGTGACGTCAGTGGATGATGAATTATATGACTGCTGCAGGCATAATCCTAACACACGTGTCATGTAAAAACATAACTTACCACGCTCATAGCATGCTCGCGGCCGTTTCGCTAGCTCCACATATAGTAAATTTGGTATCACGTGACATGAATAGAAGACGAAGGTAAGCAACACATCCAAACGTGATAATCATGACACGGAAGTCATGTACGGCATAATTTAATTCCACCTTGTAACGTTGTGCTGATTTTAAAGTGACATATCAATATTTCTCATTCGTGCTTCGCATATCATCGATTCCCACTTTGCATGGGATCTGCCAATTTTTTTAATGCTAAACGATAACAACACCATAGAATGATTGGAAATACGGAGACTAACAGATACTGTAATTTCTTCAATAGACCTAGAAACAAAGACAACACCTAGGATCGCAGGGGACGCATCACAAACTCGTGTAGGTTCTGTTACTACTTGTTGCACATCCAGGTTTAGAACAATGTCAAGCAAAAACCCAACATCCGCAGATTGGTCTGTATTTGAAAAGGGGCAGTGCCAGTCAACAAAGGGTAAGTTAAAGTCACCCGCAATTATTGCTTCATTACATGAAAATGACTGTAAATGGTCGCATAAATCATGCAAAAAAACTAGCTGGTGCATCGGGAGTCATGGGCTCCGAGATGGCGAGCGCGCGGCACACAACAAGAAAGTGCGCCCAGCGCAGAAAACCTTCAAAGTAAGACTTTCATGGTTATCTATCTGATGTACCAGTGATGCTCGAATTCCATATTTTATTAAAGCAGCCACATCACATCTGGTAGAGCGGTCACAGCGATATGCTTAATATGAGGGCAGAAAAATATTAGTATCAGCAATGTCATCCTGAAGCCAGGTCTCCATCATATTTGAATGACGCGATAGCTTCTACATGACACGATAGCTTTTAGTTCCATTGATTTGTTGACGATGCTACGCACATTTATATTAATAAGCCTGAGCTGCTTTGCAAATGTCTGCATCAGTCAATCATTTTTAACATTACGATGAAAGGTAGGAACCTTTACTCTGTTTTGAACATGAAAAACTGCCCGCCACGTTGCGTGCACGTTGTGTGCAGAAACACTGGATAAACAATAAAAATTCTCACACTAAAGAGGAGTGCCATCTCTCTATCCAACAACGAAGTGCTAAGTGCTATGACAGTGAAAATTGTCGCACCATTTTATCAAAACAAAAGCTTTTTTTTTCTGGCCTCATTGTTGACACCATCTGCTTGGAATTTATCTTAGATGAAACAGGCAATGCACTTAAATCTTGTATTATAATGAGATCACCTTTGAATTCCACCTTTCTGCCAAGCTTCACGAGAGAGTCATAAACTCAGCCTGGTCGCAAAAACCTGCCACTGGAAAGACAAAAGGTCCAAGTAATGGGGAAGATTGAAATGGTTAACACTTGTCAAACAAGGCACATTTTGGGACTTACTGCAGATGACTTATCTTTGTCGAAACAGCAGCATTCATGCCCTGATGCAGTTATTCGTGCAAGATTCGGTGTACTGCCCAATACTTTGAAATAGCTGAGCCACTACACTGTTTGTTTTGTGATTGCTAAATGGACTTGCTCAGTCAGAAGCCTGCAGAGCAGACAGCAGCAGTGTGGCAACGCATGAGTACTTTTGGAACGGTGTTTGGAGTTTGCCCTGCAAGCTATTTGAGTTGCCCTGCCATTGACTGTCCTCAATATCTCGGAGTGAGGCGGAGTATGTACAAGGTCGACCACATTTGGAATTATGTATTGAACATAAGCTTCTATGAAGTCCTGCATGCTAATGAGGGGTTCCCTTCTGATGTGGACGGCCCTCTACATGAACCGTTTTTTAAACATTTGGGGAGTAATGCAATGCATTCTTATCTTCTTGCCTTTCTCACACTCAGGACCGCCACTTTGGCAAGCTGGCACTTCACGTCAGCCATGCGAACCCAACAGCTGTGGTGACCACTTCACTTAAATCCTACAAGAACTACAACCTTGCTAGAGCATACCAGGGCGCCACTTTCTTCTGGGCCTTGATGCCTCAGAAAGGGGACAACATCACGTTTCGGTTCACACCACCCATCCGGATAGAACGGTGAGCATGTAGCTTAGGAAGGCAGTGAAGATGGTTCTGAGAATCATTTTACTGCACAAATTTTTCATATTGCATGTGCAAAGCAGTGATTGTTCTCTTTTGAGGCGTCCGATTCTGTTGTGTTTGTCAATAGTTCTCAGCTCTGTTTATTCTTTTGAATAATGTCTTGCCTGTTCGTGCTCACCGTTACTGGAGACTGTTAAGGCTCGAGGTTGATGGCAGGTACGGCGGGTATCTTTATGGTAGCTGACACCCCGCCGTCGTCCGCATAGCCAATCTTCGCCAGGGAGGAGACGCGTTCGTAAGAGATAAGAACGAAGGTTTATGTAAATGATAGAAGAAAAATGGGAACTGTACAGAGATTCAGAAGATTCCACATTATGTACAACAGAGATTCAGTTCATGATCGAGCTCTTATTAACAAAATGTCCTCGGCTTTTATAGCCCATCATCTCTTCACATGTAGGTCCGAAGAAGACGGTGACCATTCTTGCCACTAATCAAGTGACGTGAAGTCTCAGTGGTCCACCCACCAGAAAGGGTGCAGATATTGCACCACTCGGATGGGCGAAAAGGCCCAATGGTAGCACGAGTGCACCACACAATGACGCACCCGGCCCACTCCTTGAAGGCACCGCAGGGCGAGGAGGTAGAATCCGGAGAGGGAAAGTTGAGCTCCTCCGGGGAGATGGCCGCTGACCCGAACGTCAGCATCTGTCCATGGCTGCTTTCAGCTACAGGCTTCTAGCATTCTCTCGAACATGGCAGTCCAAATGCTCGATTCCTAAGAACAGCTTCTTCAACGCGTTCTCACACTTCCGGGCTGTCAGTGCTCCTGTAGCAATTTCGCGTCGGCGACAACAGCCGAGTCGAGAGGTTGACTCCAAGAGAACCGCCACAGTGGCGCCATCCCACGCTGTTCAAAACCGGTCAACAAAAGGGTTGTCTCACGAAGCTTTCGTTGAGACCCGGCTATTACCTGGAACCTTTACAGGACCGCCTCTAGCCGACTGGGTGCCAATGGGATTGAAAACAACCTAGCAGACTGGCTTATGCACAATGGCGTCTGCCCAGATGAACTGCCGGGCCAAACGTAACAGCTCCTCCAGCGCCTGGAAAATCTCGGCTGGCCAGCGCTCCCAACCGCTAAACTGACCGTTGGTGTGAATAATTTCATATTCAATTCGAATAGTACATATCACATATTGCAAAGAACAATTAGCATATTTCTTATGACCCAGCTAACAAGCACAATATATTTTTATAATAAACAAGGCAAGAGCAAATGTCATTCTTTTTGGCTCTAAGGAAGTAGAAAAACTTTGAATGATAGTGGGATTTGACTTTTGGCAGAATGCAAGAATGTTTGTAAAATATGTCACACTTTAAAATTTACTATACAGTTGAATCTTGACAATTCGAACTCGAAGGGGCCTGAAAATTTGTTTAAATTCAAAGAAGTTCGGTTTGATTAAAGCTTTACGAACGGAGGGCTCACCATGCAATGGTGCATCTGTGTTGAGCTAACGCACCAGAGGGAAGCTTCAAGAGACTTACATTTATTCGCAAATCATAAGCGTGGCACCGGGGCATCACAGATCGGCATTAGAGAGAGATCCAACAATCCACGACAGCTTTGTTTTTTTTTTTCCCCTCTCTTCGTGTGTGGCGTTGAAAGGAGAAGGGTCTCTACGCGGCAGGGACAGAAAAGGGAGAAGCGCGACAGAGGCGCGTCACAGATCGGCACTTGAGGGAGAGCAAACATTCTGCCACAGCCTTTTTTTCCTTTTCTTCTTTTCCTTCTTCGCGCACAGCGTTGAGGTGTCGGAGGTGCTGTCGTGAGATTGGGCGTGGTACTGAGAGCATTTTCGAAGCACGGTATGTTCAAGTTAACCGTCGCAAGTGCTTCCGCATTCCGATTCTAGGGCGTTTTCGCCCATTGGAATACATATAGCTTTGACGGGACCAGAGTGTGAGTTCGAATTAAACATGTTCGAATTAATGAGATTCAACTACATAGATACATTCAACTACATACATTGACTACATACATAGAAAGGCAATGAAAAAACTGGGATACGTAAGAAGGCACTTGAGTAAGTTTTCTCAAGAAGTTAAAATATTAGCCTATAAAACATTTGTTCGGCCGCTCCTGGAATATTGTGCATCTGTTTGGAATCCATACACAAAAAGCAGCATTTCAATTTTGGAAAAAATACAGAGGAAGTCTGTTAGGTTCATCTTTAATAAATACAGCTGCGAGGCATCAGTCATATCTTTTCTAGAGACGGCTGAGCTGGAAAAATGAGCAAATCGCCCATACCGCGAACAGATGAAACTATTTTACCTTCTTTATCATGGACATTTAGGTATCAAAAAGGATACATATCTAAACGACTCCCTCCGGCGGCCTACTCGGTCCCTTCATAATAAAAAAGTAACCGAGTTCTCTAGTCGCACCAAGATTTTCCAGTATTCTTTTTCTCCGAGAACTGCTACCAATTGGAATTCCCCCCCCCCCCTCAGCTGTGGTGGAATGCCCGTCGCTATCATCCTATCTACAGGCCCTTCAGTCCATGTGACATGGCTCTGACATAGTTTTACACGGACCGTGATGCTCTTTTTCTTCCATATGTTTACGTATTCATGTTTTCACTGGTTATTTAAATATCTTGCCGCTTTGCTTGTATGAATTCGTTGTACTCTTCTTCTTTTGTTCTTATTATCGCCGCAATGCTTCATGTGTGTTTATTGTAAGCTTTTTTTGTATTCACTTGTACCCACTCCTGCCCAAGGCCTGAAGATCAGACCGGCCGTATTGTAATAAATAAATAAATAAATAAATAAATAAATAAATAAATAAATAAATAAATAAATAAATAAATAAATAAATAAATAAATAAATAAATGAATGAATGAATGAATGAATGAATGAATGAATGAATGAATGAATGAATAAATGAATAAATAAATAAACTGTATTTATAGAGTAGTTAGTGGCTGGTATTACAAGCCTTTAAACTGAAAAATAATGTGAAGGTAGTATGTTGATTTAATCTTGAAATGGGGCTTTGCGACAGTGCACATGTGTTCTTTTTTGTGTGTGTGAAGGTTTAATCAAGGTATACCACTCTTCCACTGCTGTAAAACTATCTCTAGGGGGGGAATACATGCAAACTAATATACGCCTATGCATTCATTTTGAATCCTTCAAAATATTCAATAATTTAAACTTGAACTAAAGTGAATTTGAATACATTATTATTTGTTAAAATTTTTGAAGTGTGCGAGTGTTCCCACAAGCCTACATTTTCAAAGTGCTCTCAATAAAATCAAGTGCTTGTCCATATTCATTGTCTTCATTGTTGCGCACTGCACTAAACGTGTGATCTATCATGCTATACACATTTACATATTACCTGCACACACCTACATAAAATTGACAAGATGGATTAACCGTTGCAGCATTCTACGAAGCTCATAATGTCACAGATTCATTTCCTGAACAACACAAGTAAACTTAGTTTATTCTGGTGAAAGTAAAGTGCTTCAATAAGGCATCTTTCGTGGTGTGCGAGCACTGTTCTTCAGCTTCCAAATGATTTTTTTTAACAAAGAAACGAGCCCTTTGAAGAATGGCACTTTTTTTGCGATTGCCCACACAGGGCGTATGTGCATTACTGCAGTGCCAGTACTTACTCTCATTTTGAAAAAAACTCATTGATTTCACTATTTTGCCCTTTATCTTTCAGGTTTCTGTTCCGTAGTGGAAACCAAGAGCATCCAGATGACAAGTTCTACAACACAACAGTTGAAGTGCAGCTTGACTACGAGCCAGTGATCCTGCCACTTACGAGGACACTGGATGGATTCTATGTAGTTGGAAGGTTCAAAGCCAGCACAGGGATTGCCGAGGGAAATTTGCCACCTGAAATAGGCTGTGTGCGAACCCTGCGACTGAACATTCAATATGACTCAAGTCATTGGGCCATTCTGAGCGAGGTATGCGAGATCCAACATGCCTTTTTCTGTGTTTACGTTGAGATTTGTTTATTGAAGAGTGGTAGTACAAGCCAGGTGAGCAAGGTGAGAAATGTTCATGCTGATTTCTCGCCTCACAAAATGTGAAGCAGGCACCCAGTTGCATTTCAACTTTTGATGTTTCAACATTTGGTGGTCCTCTTTAGAACTCGGTCGTTCATTTTCTTTTTATTTCTTTTTGATTGGTATGCTTGTTCTCTCATATAACATTAATAAAAGCCAGCAGGTAATGAAACCAAGGAAGGTATGGGGGATGTTTGTTGTACCGTTTCATACTTTTTAATTGAATTGTCATGACGATAGAGATGTGAAGAGAGTAAAGTGCACGAAAAGACAACCTGTCACTGGCAGGGGCCAAACCGGCAACTTTCGGATAACTCACCCGGTGCTCTACCAATTGAGTTGCAGCAGCAGTTGGCCACAGTACTGACTCAATTGATGGAGCGCCAGGCGCGTTATAAGAAAGTGGGAGGTTCAGTCTTTGCCAGTGGCAAGTTGTCGTTTTGTCTGCTTTACGGTCTCTATCACAATTACTACAACTCATTTATAAAAACAGTACAATGAACATTCTCTGTGCTTTCCTCAACTTCATTACCTCCTGGTTTTTCTTAAGGTTGTGTGAAACAGAGAAACAAGCTGTAAAAACTCAATTATTCCACTTGTTTTGTGATATCTAAGCATTCTAAATTCTTCTATTTGTTCTGTGATATGCAAGACATGTTTTAAATTCATAAAAAGTCAGCTGTTTTGAATAAATGTTTACGACATGGCTATTACTATCCTTCTAGATCATTGAACCTCCGACTTCCAGGATTTTTTATTGCAATAATGTTAGAAATGACTGTGTTGATTTTGGCATCTGCAACATCATCCTTGAGCAAAGATTCTGATAGATTCAAAGAACAAAAATCATGGCTTTAGCCGGTATCGAACACAGGCATTTTGTGTGGAAGTCGAGCGTTCTGTTAGAGAGCTACACCATTGCTTGAAACTTGTTTTGGACTAAGACTTCTAGAGGCGTCGTTTGAGGCAAGAAATCGCATTCATAGGAGTCATATTATATGGTAAAAGTGTACGATAGCATTACGTATCACTCCATGTGAATTCCGTACAAGTAGTAGTTTAAAGCTGACCACTCATTAGAAAGGACTTAATAATAATGAATCATCAGCCACAGCATCAACGAAATGCTCAGCTATGTAGTTGTCTTGCAGTTGCATTCTTGTGGTAGTCATGCGAGGAAAGTTTCCAGCAGCAAATTTCATGTGCACAGACCTTTATTTCTCTATGGCACGGTTGAGATACACATTGAGAAAGAAAGCATAGCAAGCGAATGAGAGGCAAATATGAATGGAAGGCCTGAAAGTGTTTTGCTCACCACTCTTGTCTTCTCGTTTTGTTTTTTAAGGGAGGACATAAAAATTCCCGCTTTTTTTTTACTTTAATATAACTCAATACATTTTGAACATGGAGGTGTGTTCTGACCGTCATCGCCGAAGTTCAATATTTAGAATGACATTTTACGGTTATGTTGGATGGCCCTTTTTCTGGAGTTTGGGATGTCAGTCTTTTAGCTGTACGTATCAGCTGCAGCTTTGTGCTGCGACGTGTGAGCAAGAACATAACGTTACAGGAATTGCTGTGAGATGAATCAGTTGCAATTGGTGTAAGCACAGATTCAAGAAAAAGAGAAAAATAAGCTTTACTGTTTGACTAAGAAGAAAAAAAATATACAGGAGGAAGAATGATTTAAAGTCATCAGCCTTTCCCAGCTGCACACCTTGGAATGTCATGTCGTACATTACATTTCCGTGGAAGTCTCTACCTTGCTCGGTTAATTGTAGCCTTTATTAATGATATCTGCTATTTGCTTCTTTGCAATCCACTTGCTTATTCGCTTTTCAGTATGACTTTGATTCCTCTGGCATTCCGTTCCTGTCCTCTGTTTCGATTCGTGTGCAAGTGTGCCTCACTATGTAATGTTAGCAGTCTATGAAGCATGGTGCTGGCACGTGACAGTATCCTGTGGTGAGAAGTGCATCCGATACTATCACCACTCTCGATTTATGTCATCTATTGGCCAACAGCGTGCTGGCTGCTACTTGTTGTCGAATAGCAGGTGCCAGCAGCTCCGAAGAGAGTGAGCGCAGGCCCTTGTACAAAAAAAGGGTGCCTGATAAATTGTCAACTTCCTGCTTTGCTTTTAAACTCTCCTTGTCGTGCACAGCTGAAACATTTGGCTGAGCTGTTTATAGTAGTGTTTGGTATCCCCAGGTTATGTTTTTCCACCGAGCCTGAAGGGTAGGGTGACCACTTTCCAAGTATTGAAATGGGGGAGCAGGGGGGGGGGGGGGGGCTCACGGACGAAGGAAGAGGGGGATTCATACAGCATGATGGGAAACGAACTTATTTTTTCATAAATAATTTTCTAACTTGGCGACGAGTGTTTTTGGAAAGGCTATAAAGAGGCACGAAAAACTGTTTCGCTTGTCTGTGATAAGAAGTTCTGCCGTGGCTGCCCGTGAGTTTTATGCTTTCCAGACAAAGGAAACGTTGATATTGCTGCTTTTTGTGTACAGTTAAAAAAAAACGACATATAAACACTGTACAGTATAGGCAAAAGTAAGGTGATGCGAAGACAGAGGCGAGGTGACTTTCAGCTTTTCCTGAAAACATATGACCGCAGTGCGCAGTCATTCAAGTCACCTCACTATCATGTGACTGCGAATTCAGGAAGATGAACAGTCGCATTTCGTGCATGCATTGCCCGATCAGTTTCGATTTTGCCTTTAAAACTCGGTGAGGAATATCTCAAACTACGTGCGACTTTTGCGATTTCTAGAAATGAGTATGTCATAAATTATGATGAAATACAACTTTCTGATATAAACAACAGCTCTCTAATCAATAAATAAAAGGTTAATTAAATAGTTCTTGGTAATTAGTTGTTTCAAAATCATTTTAGCTTTGGAAAAGTACTTCCACCCTAGGTGAATGCTGTTCACATGCGAAAATGACGGCAATGTCACAATCATACAATTTTTTTAAAATCTGTTTAAAAAAAAACCTTTTTATCTGAGTAGACAAAATTTTTCACATTGCGCTGTAACATGCTCTGATATGAAACAAAAGTTATTGATGAAAACATAAAAATAACATAAAAATTTTGTGACACAAGGTGCAGTCAGTCGGGAAAGATGTGGCTCAATTTTCGCACATCACTGATTGAGAGCCTTACAAGTGCTCCACATCACATGTTTTACTTTATGGAAGTCATATTTGGTGAGTTGTGTTCATAAAGTCACGTCTCTATAGTTTGTGCTAGAAAAGTTTGTGGCTGCCATGAAATGTGCAGTTAGGTGACATTTTTGGAAAATGTTTTGTTGGGTGAATTGGTTCATGACTTGACAAGAGGAAGCACAGCTCGAAAAAAAAAAAAAAAGCCAGGGTGACACAAGATCGCCAGTCCTGTGTTCCTTTCATGCTACATTTTATTTCTTTTTAATCTTGAAGTTCTCGCAGTATGCTTCTTTTTGTTTGTAGAGGAGCAATTGGCATACAGCTAAAACATTCACAAGCAGAGTGACCAAATGCAGCTGAGCTCAAGGGGCTGCCAAATAATATTAGCAAAGTGTGGAATGCCAGGTATTTTTGGAGATTTTTCTTTCTGTTGAGAGATGCCACACAATAGCCCTCAACGCAGGGCAGTTCCGCAAGTCACAGGACCAGTCGTCACCTTATTGAGGTGCACTTCATGACCCTTTCAAAGTTCCCCCAATCCTGCACTACTTTAGCCATAAGATGTCACTGGTCAGTAAACCTACAGAGGCCTTTTGTACAATTCTCGCTTTGCCAAAGGCTATTTGAGCAGCTTTGGTCTTTATTCCATCTAGGTAATATCAAAGCATTGTCGAAACTAATTAAAAAAAACATTGTAAAAACTAATTGCTGAATACATGAATGTGGCATTGCATAAATATTGACCTGCAAGAGCTGTTTTATGAAAGCAGCTCTAGTGGGCCATTGTGACATGAAGCTCTGGATTGGGGCTGACAGCTTGCTTCCTGTACTACTGGACATTTGAAGTGCTTTAAAGAACTATATGAAGTGCTTTCAGAGTTTTAGAGAACAACTAGTTCATCGAACTTTATATATTTCATGGAATAAATGACACACCATACTGAGAAATGTTTAGTTTTTTTTCTAACATTAATTAGCAAAAGATCACTCCACATTCATGGTGCCAGCAGTCTTTAAGTTATCATCATATACTTACGCTGTAGTAGTATACCAGTTAACGTTGGTAGATCAGAAATATCGCCAAAATAGAAGATGGCATTGTAGCAGATAACTAGCTTGGCGTACAATTTGGAACCTGACAAAATCCTGAAAAACACTGAAGTCTATTCTGGACAAGTTCCTTTAAATGTAGTCTGTGGAAGCAATAATTATGTTATGCATGATACACAAAGGTAAAATGCAGTTCCTTGTCACAGGTACTGTAATATTTTTTGTGTGCGATATGGGTCTATTGAGAAAATGTGGGTGCCAGCATGAGAGTAAGCCACAGTAACAGCAGTACAAGAAAACCTCGCGATGAGCAAATATCTGCCTTTTTGAGAATCAACATGCAGAGGGCTGTGGTTTCCCACGGTTCAGAGTATGTTTCATTAATTAGTTTCCTTAGGTATTTGACTGCAATGTTTGTATGCAGGCATCACTTTCTTTGGTAGCATTAAAGGTGATCATCAGCTACCAGGAATGACAGTATGAACTAAATACTAAAGCGAATTTGGGATGTGCTTCGAATCATCGTTGCATTATTGTGTGTTCATGCTTACAGTTTTCTTTTTCTTCCATCTGATTGCAGATATGGATCAAACCAGCAAACACCAGTTTCCAAGCTAACCCAACTTCTGTGAAAGTTGTTCAGTGGCAGACAGTTTCAGTGAAAAAAAATTTGTAGTGCAAAAAACGCTCAGTGATCAGCTCCTGCCTTCAAGAGCCATTACCTCAGGAGAGTGCAATAATTTTCTACGACATTTGCAAGCCACACTGCACCGCAACTGTGTGATTCCCAAGCGTCGCCTTGACACTTGTGCTTGTGAATGCTGTTCACATTTCCAAATGCCTTGCAACTTCAGGTGAACTGTGCGTCTTTCAAAATGTTTTGTTTGGAAGTGCTAGAACTACATACAGTGCCTGTGGAACGTCGGCAGAGCTTCACCATGGACAACTTCATTAGTTTTCGGAGTGTTTCGAGTACTTCAACTTGAGACAGTAATTCACTACAAAGTGTGATAGATGGTTGTTGCAGTATGGGTGTTGACTTCGTTAAGTCTTTTAGTTTATGTGCAATTTTATTCATTGTTTCACTCAACTAGGAACACATTGTTTATATAATTTTAAGTGATGCGTGCTTGGATATGTCTTGTGATAACCGCAAGAGCAGCGAATGGAAGCATAGGTTTTGATCAAGATTAATGCACAGCCCTAGTATGACCTTGCTGTTCAATCATAGTATTTTTTTTCAACCCTCAAGTTGCCTTAATAGGGTATAGGGCACTTATTAAGCCGACTGTAAATAACGAATTGCTTTGATATGAAACTATATTAAATGGTATTATTAAATTAATATTAGGTAGTACGTATCTGAAGCTATGCCTTTTGCTCGTTGTACTTCTTAATGGTTTCTTTGAATTACTATCCCTAGGTGAATAAAGTACCTTGATTTGATTTGATTGTAAGTTTATGTAAAAAACGAGATGTAATATTTTAACATTTAGCACAAACTATAGAGTCAGATAAAGGAAGAGCACTGCTTTTGTTATCACCTGTATCTGTATTGCACTATGTACTACTTTATTAGTTTCATTCTTGGCACACAGAGCTTATGGAAGTTCACCTACAAGAGAAACTACAATTGGCAATGTGCTACTTATATTGGAGTGTCACAGCATACATCGTAGAAACAGACATGCAAGCATCCCGTGATACTCATTACATATGTTGGTGAAAATTTTATAAAGCTTAGATTCTGCATGCGATTTACATGGCTTTACATAGTTGCCGTGAGTGATTCCTGATATATGTAAACATGCTTTCATGGACTACATTTGCCTTTTGTGTGGCAATGCACGTAAGCAGGGTTAGTGTGTCTATTCTACACTGTCTGGAAATGGCATGGAGAGGGCTGCTGCCGATTTTTATGAACACTGTTTACACTTGTACACTAGGCAGCTTTGTGCTTGTGTTTATTAATGGAGCACTGAATGCTTTACTAAGGTTTCCTAGCTTACGTTATCAGCATGCATGGGACATAACCTGCACTCATACGAGGCAGGAGCAATAGCCTGCCAAGTGTTGTTGACTCCGGTTATAACAAACAGATTCAGACTTTGTTTCTTTGGTTTTTCAGCAAAGACTCGGTCTTTAGAGCTTAAGCTAGCTTGACCATAGGTTTCTGGAACTACTCACATTTAGCATACAGCAGGTGTTTAAGCTGTACAGTCAAGAATTTCATAACCACAGAAATACAGTGCTGTACTTAAAATAGAACAGTATACTAACGAATCGGCACTAAATTCACCATAGCGTTTTAGTGTGTTCATTGTGAATGTCAATAATATATTTCACAACTGAAAACAAACAAGTATCAGGCACAGTGAAGTGAAGTATATGTTTTTTTTATCACGCTATATTTCATTGATAATTCCACATCCCCATTTACCTAAGCACAAGGTCCGATGTGATTGTGGCTGTTCAGTTGCAAGTGTGTATCTACTTACATCAGAAAATTACGCTCATTACAAAGGAATTAGTTATACTAAGTCGCCATGCCTGCTCATATACAGCCCCACACTTAGTGCCTGTATTGCAAACTAAGCTCACTGAAGTTGGTGTGGTAGATTTAATATGCAACTTGGAATTGAAGTTATTGTAAGTCATAGCGCTCGAATTGCATAGAAGTACACATTTTTTAGTGCTTCAGAGTTTCCTGCATAATCCTTATTGATTATGCATTTGTGTGAATGTCGGTGTTGCAACAAATTTTCATGAAATAGTTTGTCCGCTTTTCAGTGTAAAAACTTGTGCCTGCTTTCTGCATTCTTTTGTTATCTGTTCCTGTGTGGATCATATCACGAAACAATGCCTTAGTAATTATAGCTGTACAGAGATTTTTTTTTAATGGGAGTCAGTATCGTGCATATTGTTGAAATCTTTAAGGCTGAGAAAAAACTGTCTCTTGCCTCATCATAAAAGTATCAGTTTACTGCTGTTCTTTCACACCTTTTATGATCTTCTCTCTAGCCTTGTGCATTAAAAAATTAATCCAAGTTAGTTTAATTGCATAAGTTTTCATATTCCCAATGATAAATCCTCTAAATTATTTTCTCAAAACGTAACTCTTTTTGCCTATAGGTTTTCTTTTATTGTAAGGAGGTACGACTTGAGGAGCTATTGCCTCCTCTTCAGAGCCCCAAGTTTAGCTGATGTCAGCTGTGTTCAAAATTTTGCTTGTTTTGAAACAATAAAGTATTTTTTTACTGTTGCATTAGGTTTCTTCTAAAAATGACTGACAACTTCTCATGTGGCCCAATGTCCAACCTTACTGATATGTTTCTGTTCCTGGTAGCACTTTTCCACCAAATCACTTGGAACAAATGAATACTAGTTGAGCTGAAGGTGGTCTGTAGGTGTAATTTGTGTGGCATTGTAACTATTTAGAGAATAATGTATCAGGTAATGTAAATAAGCATCACTTGCTTATTATTTCCTTATGTCCAAAATATGTCCAAAAAAGGAAACCACATAACAGAATCTGTGATGTCACTCTTGCGTGCCTATGGAAGTGTTCTTACGCTATTCTTGTGAAGTGGCTTTTGCTGGATTGTTGTAAAGACATTTCACAATATTAGCTCCCACACTTGATTCAAGCCAATGCTGTTTCCCCTATTAATACATGAACTGCTGGTAAGCTAGGTAACGTATGTACCTAATGCCTCAAATTGATAGTGTACATAGTGATAGTGAGCATCAGCAGGGGTGTGCCAAAGGGGCACTTGCCCCCCTCAAGTCAGAACATCACTTGCCCTCACCCAAGCTACACCAGCCACGATGAGAACAAGTGTTTTCACTCCACCAAGAGAAAGCCCGGCCGACGGCCATGTGACATGTGGGGACTACTGGTATGACAGTTATTCCTTGGAGAAGCAGTGGTATTTTGTAGTTCCGTAGGACAAAATGTTTTTAAGCGTGCAAATGAAGTGATTGCACCAGCAGGCGCTTAGAGTATTTCTTCAAGTCTCGTACCAGCTTTTCACTCAAAGTGCTTTTCTTAAGCAAAAGAATGATCAAGCATGCCTTTATAGACTGCTGGAGTTGAATATTTCTTGGGCTGTATTGAGTGCTTTTTGTAAAGACTTTCCTCTGGACAACCATGTTATGCTGAACCTCTTTGTACAAAAAGTAATTGCATGACATTCGACGCTACGTAAAATGCTGTTGAGATAGCGTAGTCTCTGGCGATCTCTAATGACTGTAAGAGATACAGATGTGCATGTGTCTGCCTGGAACTGGAAAACCTTTCCAGGCGTTTTTGGCTTGCTGTTTCATCATGGCACTCACTTTTAGCTTGTCTCTGGCGTCTTTTGGCATTAGTATATGACTCGTGCATAGAGTAGGTGAAAAATGGGGGCAGTTGCACGTCCTAAAGTCCATAATATTGTCGTTGAAGTCACTCACTAGTGTAAAGGGCATACAGATGGACAGATGGTGCGGGTTGCTTTTTCACAGCTCTGCAGCAGGTGTTGCGATACGAGTGTGGCGCTGGCACATCTCTGGATGCCATACAAGGCTAGCCCCTAAGAAGCTTCACCCCTGAAATGTTCAGAGTCATAAGCGTGCATGCTACAGGGCGAGGTGCAAGGTCTTTCCCCATCATACTCAGTGCGACGTGTCGCGTCATGGTTGAAAGAGCTCTAACTGGTACTGGCCACGAGGGATTCTGATGCCAATAATTGGATGGCCTAATGCTCCTGTTAATGCATTCCTTACTTACTTCCCACTGTTCCACTTCGGCCCAGGCAACTGTGAGGAGCACGGAATAGCTTTATGACTTCATCCATTTAAACCCTGTGCATGCCTATTCATCAGAGACGACCAGATTCAAAACCCATCGTCGAAAACTTATTGAGAGTGAGGTTGTCTGGATGCTGTAAAAAAAAAAACCCCTGAGTGTGAGCCAAATAATGCTTTACAGTGTTAAAGGACACGGTCCACGTGTATACATGGCAATAATGTGTAATCACATCTATACGGGCACAAAAGCACCTGATGAAAAATTTTCATGATGTTACAGTGTACTAGTACACTTTAAAGTGTGGTATGTTAAAGTGTGGTATTTTCAAACACTACAACTGAACATAGAGCCAGAATTATAGCTAAAAGTATGGCACCATACTAACAGTAGCCGTCTCGCTATAATGATGTTTAAAAAAAAAAACTTGGAAAACTGTATTATGACCAAGATTTTTATAAAGTAAATATGATTTTGAGTATCCAAGAACATGTAAATGAGACAAAGAACATTTATTTCCATCTTGTTATTCAACCATATGTGAGTTGCAAAAAGCAATTTATTTATTTAGCCCCACTGCGGTGGTATAGTGGCTAAGGTACTCGGCTGCTGAGCCGCAGGTCGCGGGATCGAATCCCGGCGGCGGCGGCTGCATTTCCAATGGAGGCGGAAATGCTGTAGGCCCGTGTGATCAGATTTGAGTGCACGTTAAAGAATTCCAGGTGGTCGAAATTTCCGGAGCCCTCCACTACGGCGTCTCTCATAATCGTATGGTGGTTTTTGGATGTTAAACCCCACATATCAATTTATTTATTTCATTAAGTACTGCTAGGCGAAGAGCATTACTGAGGAGAGTGAATAAAGCACAAACAAAAAATGAACAAAACATGCTGAGTAAAAAGAGAATGAACAGACTTCCAATAGACTTCGGGTTTTGCAAAATAGAATGCCCTCAGAGTAAGGGTTGGCCCATATAGTGCCGTGGCACAATAAGTGGGCCGTGGAGCAAAGCTCAAGCAGCGCAAACTTCGATGCGCTGCTGCAAAGTGAGTGGAAAGGCTGGATGTCATGGCTCCCATGTTAGCAATGCGATTCTAATTAGAAAAACTGTTACTTAATATTGCATGGTATGTACGATTATATAAATATCCATTACAAGTCACGGTTTTTATAATGCACTGCGGTTCAAGAGGTAAATAGGCAGAATGTTGTTTCTGAAGACCAATGACGCTGCAATTTGTCACATTTAGGGCCATAAGAGTGGGAAATTTTGGAGCATTCCCGCCATCCAGTCAATGTGAGCGTTTAACGTTCTGGGAGTTTCCCTTGAAGCCGCGGAGGGAAACCTATCACGTAATTTATTATAACAGACCATGCAGATTCATTTTGGTTCTAATATTTATTTTTCGTGCGGGTGCTTTGGTGCGCTTTAGCCTCTAACTGGGGCCAAGAAATGTGCGCGCGCATTTGCTCACGCGACAGTAGTTGATTTTTAGGCTTTGTTTTTTTACCTGCAAATAATAAGAAAATTGGGTAAGTGTGACTAAACAGCTAAATGTAGCCAAGAAGCCATGGCCCCAACCTCAAATTTTCATAGCCAGTCAGTGCCCTAAAGTAGCCATTTTGGCGACAAGTAGCCACCAACGGCAACCCTATATCACATGGACTTGGCTGGGTCCACGTGTAAGGCGTAAAAGTTAATATTGACTCCGCGTACTTTCCTCGAACCCTCACCAGCCCAAACGATCGTCGTATGATTCTTCACAGAGCCGCAATGTCTGCAGATATTCTGGGCAAGAGGTGCCACTGCCCCCCCCCCCCCCCCTCTTCCCACCCCGAATTTTTTCCTCGCCGTGCAGAATAGCGTGCACCCAGCCACACACGTATGGCCCTCACTCTAAATCATCTTCACCCCCCTGTCCCCATAGTTATGGCACAGTAGGCATTTATTCCGAAATTAAACTTGCAGTAGGTACCCTAGAAGAAGCACGCGCACAGGCGTTCCTTCCCTGGCGGCATGGTTCGGGTGTATACCCCAAGAAGGTTTAAAGAAAGTGCTGGAGTGGAAGCTCCCGCAATGCCTTGCCAGCAGCAGTGAAGCCAGGTTTTGCCCTCTAAATATCTGAGAAACACGCTATTTTCTGGTGGTGCCCACTTAGACATGAAGTCGCTTTGATTTGTCAGTCTAAAGGCTACGTTAATTATAAATTAAAACACAGTTGTTGCCGAAGAAATAATCAGTAGGGGCTAGTATTGGTGACTTAAAATCTCCAATAACATTTGCCTTGAATTCGAGGCTTACTGAAGAAAACTAGTAACACAAAGACGCACTTTGAGCTTTATCTCCGTGACCCGAAAAGGTTGCCACGTTAAACTCGTTGGGCGTGCAAGGAAAACGCTCCTTCTCAATCGCCACTTGTGTGGCAGCTTGGGCTAGTTGGTATGGCATGACGCGAGAACAAAACGACCACACAGAGAGAAGTGTTTTATTGTGCGAGTGCGGCTCTCGCCGACGCGTGCGTTCAGTGTTTCGGTGGCGTCCCTTCGGCGTCTCACTCGCATTCAGGATCCCCGGGGCTTCGGCTGAGTAGTCGCCGACCCCCGGGGTCCCTGGAAGGATGGCATTGAGGTCAGTATGCACCCCGCCAAAAGATCACTGTTTTACGTTTACTGTTCCTAAAGGTGAGGTCTCCGTCGATGAGATCATCGAGTGTCTCGAAGAGACGACCGGCAGTGAAGGGGTGCTGTTCCTACAACACCTCGGCGCTTTGAAGTTCTTGGTAGCAACAAGGACAGCGGAAGAAGCCACCAAGCTCCGGGTGAATGAAGAATGAAGGTTTTGTCCTTCAGTAGAAAAAAAGTTCAAGTGAAAGACGTCGGCTCACCAAGTGTGTTCGAGAGGGTGTACAGGCTGCCACCATACCTACCCGATGACGTGGTTGTCTCTGCTTTGCAGCCTTTCGGCAATGTACGTAGTATAACATATGTTACTCTGCAACGAAGTCGGTCTACATTTACCGGTACACGAGTGGTGAAGATGGAAACGGCAAAGCCCGCACCGAACTTCATTTCAATTCATGGACAACGCCTTATGTTACCCGCAGGTCGCGGGATCGAATCCCGATTGCGGCGGCTGCATTTACGATGGAGGCGGAGATGTCGTAGGCCCGTGTGCTCAGATTTGGGTGCACGTTAAAGAACCCCAGGTGGTCGAAAATCCCGGAGCCCTCCACTACAACGTCTCTCATAATCATATGGTGGTTTTGGGACGTTAAACCCCACATACCGATCAATGAACAACGTGTTATGTTGGAATACCGTGGTATGCGTCGCGTCTGTGCGCGTCGCCACAATGAAGGTCACATGGCTGTGGCCTGTGCAACACCTTTTTGTCATACGGACACGCTGTGGATGAGTGCACCGAAGCCTGCATAAGGTGTGGAGGTGATCACCCGACCAAAGAGGGTTTCAAGCGC